AAAAAAAAAAACTTTCCTAAATCTCACCACCCCAGAACAGTGACCACTCTTGAATAGAACTCTACCCACACCTTGCACAAACTCCAGCAACTAAACCCTTTGACATAGTTTTAAAATACATCTACAAATTCTTTGATACTCTTCTCTTTGAAATGTGACATTTAATTCCCCTTACCTTGACTTAGTGATCTGCAATAATTGACTTGCATCTAATAAGTAGGATATTACAGAAAAGACAGAGTTTAACTTCTGAATCTAGAACATAACAAAAAAAAGAAAAAATAGGGCTCTGTCTGTCTCTATCTCTGATCATCCCTTCTGTGAGAATTCAACTGCTGTGTCACCAAGATACTCAAGCAAGCAGAGGTCCAAGAGGTGAGTAAGTGAGGCCTCCTGCAAACAATCAGCAGAACTTGCCAGCCATTTGAGGGCGCCATTTTGGAAGTGGATCCTGCAGCCCTAGTCAAGGCTTCAGATGACTGCAGCTCTGACTAATGGTCTGACAGCAACTGCATGAGGGACCATAAGCCAGAACCACCCAGCTATGCTGATCCTAGATTCCTGACTCTGAGAAGCTTTGTGAGATAATAACGTTAATCATGGTTTTAAGCCACTAATTTTTGGAGATGTTTGTTATGCAGCAATAGACAACTAATATACCCCTGAATCTTACTGTCCCCCAACAGCTAAACCCCTGAATCTTAATTCTTCCCATACTTAGACAACTAAATTCTTTGAATCTAATACTGATCCACCCCCCCAAAAATCTAATATGCATTCATTCATTCTTGTTATTGATACTTGAAACCCTGACATACGTAGAACTATATAAAGGTCTTGGAATGAATAAGAAGCTTATTACCTTGCTGGAAGTCAGTCCGCCCACACCCTCGGATCAGCAGGGCATCTCCAGTGAAGGCCATGCTGTGGTCATTCAGAACAAAGGTGACGCAGCCTGGGGTGTGGCCAGGGCTGGCCCGTGTCTCCAAGGCCTAGGGGGGACGGAGGAATACAGAGATAGTCACCAACATTTCTTGAAGATGAAACTGGCCCAGACACCCCACTCTACCCCAGGGTCAAATCTAGATAAACTTTTTGGTAAAAAATGAATGCTCCAACCTTATCCCAGAGTAAACTCTAAATGCACTAAAGACTTAAATACAATAAAATAAAACCTTAAAACTATGACAACAATAATACCAATAAAAATACAAATGAATATCTGATGTCTGGTTAGAAAAGAAATGTTAAATGTGATTCCTGGGCCAGGCACAGTGACTTACACCTATAATCCTAGTATTCTGGGAGTCCAGGTGGATGTATCACCTGAGCTCAGGAGTTTAAGACCAGCCTGAGCAAGAGCAAGACCCCATCTCTACTAAAAACAGAAAAACTAGGTAAGCGTTGTAGTGGGCACCTGTAGCTCCTGCTACTCAGGAGGCTGAGGCAAGAAGATCACTTGTGCCTAAGAGTTTGAGGTTGCTGTGAACTATGATGCCACAGCATTCTACCAAGGATGACAAAATGAGACTGTCTCAAAAAAAAAAAAAAGTGATCCCTAAGTTTAAATCATTAAGGAAATGATTAATGGTTTGGTTTTAAATCAATGAAGTTTCTTAATGGCAAAAACTCCATAAACAAATTTCTTTTTTGCTTTTTGAGACACAGTCTCACTCTGTCGCCCTGAGTAGGAGTAGAATGCCCTGTGTAGAGCTATGGGTAGCATCCTAGCTCACAACAACCTCAAACCCCTGGGCTCAAGAGACCCTCTTGCCTCAACCTCCCAAGTAATTGGGACTATAGGTGCCCACCACAATGCCTGCCTAGTTTTTTTATTTTTAGTAGAAATGGCATATCACTCTTGCTCAGGCTAGTCTGGAGCTTCTGATCTCAAGAGATCCTCCTGCCTTAGTCTCCCAGAGTGCTAGGATTACAGGTGTGAGCTACCATACTCCACCAACAAAACTTAAAGGGAACCAATATGCTAGAAAAATATATTTGTAATACCTATATACCCTACAGTGGGCAATATACTTAATATACGTACAAATCTTACAAATCGATAAGAAAAAGAAAAGCAAATTAATATATAATAGAACACCAAATAGTCATTAAAAGTAATATTGCTGAAATAAAACTTGATGCTTTATACAAATATATAGTGACCCCAAAAGTGCTTAATATCCAATAAGGGCAAAAACCATGTTGCAAAGCAATATATACAGTGGGATCTTTTTTAAAAATTTTATTCATTAACTCTAAATATAGGCTCGGCGCCTGTGGCTCAAGTGGCTAAGGCGCCAGCCACATACACCTAAGGTGGCAGGTTTGAATCTAGCCCAGGCCTGCC